GTATTTGCGCAATGTTAATTAGGCAGATTACCTTGAAAAACATTGATTGCTGCCGTATTTCTGATATAGTTTTTTGCAAATTTCTCAGTTTTTAGTAACAATTAATTTCTTTTACTATTTTTTCTTTACTCCTATAACAGCGCCAGACAACACCTCCAGAGGAATGACGCCAATTTTGAATCACCCTGTATAGCGGGGTGGAGGTATGTTTTTAGGACATAATTTTTTTGTGGTTTCGATCTGTATGTCATCCTCGGTCTTGATGGAGATATCAGTTGCGTTCTTTATGTTACTTTTAACATAGGTGGCTGTGCCGTATGTTCGGTGGTATGTGGCTCCCAGCAATTCGTAACCTGGTATTTTCCCCTGTTTTTGGAGTTCTTGTTCCGTTTCTCAGCGGGTTTCCTGTATTGAAACCATGTCGTTATCGTTGTTTTTAAGCAATTTTGATAGATATTGGCTTTTATCATAACTTATGTCTTATTAACCTTAACATAACTTATGAAAAAATGGACTGATGTTCCAATTTTTCTAGTCGAGTCCTGCGAAGAACTAGGTTTGTACTGGTTCATGATTGCTGATTTTGGATTTGGTATTGAGTGTGCCGTTTAGTCAGGAGATTATCTAGAATTGTCCGACTGCCACTATGTGCTACTTCATTTGGAGTTACGAAGAGTTACGAGGAGGCGAACTAGCTTTAAAACAATAGACAACAATACAGACATTAATTGAAACGCAGCATAAATAAATGTAACATCGTCACAATTTCTTAGACCAACTTAAACATAAACTTAAAATGCTTAAGAAGAAGTGAAGGCAGAAAAACACTGACACCGAAAAAATTAAGCTAAAGACTAATCGGAAAAATCTTGTCGAAATCAAAGAAGCCTTGTTAAATAATACGTGGCTGGAATGTAGCCAATCATTTAGTCAACTTTTCGACAAAATATTAATCTGTTGAGGCTCAGAATTTCATGAATATGGATCCTGGTTGTGGATCTGCCATTGAGGCATTGTTTAAACTACATGCCAACCTATAAAAATGTTTTATGAAAGTTTTCCGGAAGGCTCAGAGGTGAGCACGTGTCGACATCAAGTAAGATATTCCGTAGCTTACAATGGTACGAGCAAAGAAGCATTTATAAATTAAAAGTGAGTGTATTATTTAGCAAGCATTGACACAAAATATTCTAGCTTAAATAGAGTCGTTGCCCAAGAAATTTTTTTGGCTGAAACTTATTGCTTTTGATATAAATGCTTAAAGCAAATTAAAAAAAAAAAATTGTAATATCAAAAAAAGGCAACGAAAGTTGCCAGATTTGCTTGTAAAATGACGTCACTCGAGAAAGTTGTTTTAGTAGCTGTGGCACAAATCCTACGCTAGTTATATGCCCATAACCACCAGAATCTACACTTGCATATTGCATAGGAGCAAGCTAAGCGTTTTTAATATATTAACATTTAACGCATAATAACAATCGATTATGGAGTAAACTTTACTATAATGTGCACGAAAAGGTATAGGTTTTTTAGGTGTCATTTTTTAGGAGAACTTAATTAGGTGGCATCCAGACTATTAAACTCTTTAACATCTCGCAATTAATGGAAGGCTCAAAACTACGGCTCGTCCAGGAGCGTCACTACTTCGTTTTTTGTCTTTTTGGCACACAAATTTATGTGGAATAACATCTTTTTTCATTCTTTTCTGAACTCTTATAATTTTCCACTCTATAAAATTTTCCATGCCTTTTCGAGCTGCGAAATAAAATAAACAAAAATTGCACATAGTAAAGCAAGGGTGAAACATATATCTAACGAACACACAGGGTTAAGAACCCTACAATATTTTTGCTTTTATGCGAACTTACATCGAAATGATTCTCCCAAGCATAAATGTTACTTTTTGCAGAAAGATCGGTGAAGTTTCGCCGCGCTGCTTTCAACGGTGTAGACGTGGTGGCACTTGTACACTGTGGCACCATACAGTACTTATAAGCCATTTTAATTTCAATAATTGAGAAACTAGTAAACTAACACACTATATTCACATTAGAGCATGGAAACACGTATAAGCGCCGAATATGGCGGAGCAGAATCATGCTTCGTGACGTCACATTACGATTAGCAAAACTCGGCGTTTCGGCGCGCTTTGTGTAAGTTTAAACTTTGACTGCTGACAGATTTGTTACGACTAGACAGAATGTGAAACAAAATTGTAGGGCCCTTATCTTAGGCAATGACCCCATTGCTGAAAATTTCATAATGGACGATATCCGTCGCCAGTCCTTGGTGTCGTGTGAATCGCGTTCTTGGATAGAAAATATAGAATCATTGTTACCCTCAAGGAACATTTTAAATGCGAAATGCATTTTCAATGTATGATCAGTCTAGTGTGAGCTTTTTGATCATCAGTGGGCAGAAAATGGTGGCTGGAGCGCCAGCTTGCAGAAAGCTGGAACGAAGGATCTCTAATCTACAAATGTTTAAGCTTGAACTAAGTTTAGTTTTTCGACAAGCAACTGAAGTTTTACGGATTCTTCACATTTCTTTTGTTGACCTTCAATGCCATGACTTCGACAGATTTTCTGAAGCACTAAAAAAATGTTCATCTTTCTTTCCAAGTGACACGATGCAGCTTTCGGTAAGTTTGGCATTACTTTTCCCCTGATTGCCATGTGGATGTAGAGCTTTTAGTCCCATATTGTTGACTTGTATTTTATGATACTGTTCCGTGCCATATTTAGTCGACGTGGAACGAGAAGGTGTTAATTCTGTATTGGGTTTTTTGAAAATTTTTGTTTTGATTTTTGGAAAATGTACCTTGGGTTTGGAAAATGTACCCACTTACTCGAGGTTTTCTAAGGCAACTTGTAGCCAGGTGAATGCAAAATAAATGTCGGGGCAGAAAGACAGATTGGGTTGATAGCCTTTTTCTCTAGGAAATAAAGATTCTGATGTAAGGTATGTTGCATCAAATTTTGGCGTTTTTCTGTTATCAATTACACTCGACACTACACGGTTTCACGGTTTCTCAATGAGGATTACTCAGATTTACAAATTTAAACTTTTATTGCTCCATTTTCCTACATTAAATGCTCACGTTTATGTTACGCGGCAAATACCTGGGCCATTTTTGTTATTATTGTTTTTATTTAGAGGGAAAATACGTGAAAATCTACCCTCAATCAGAATCTATAACTTGCAACTGTTCGGATATGGTTTCACTAGAATTATTAGCGCTTTGACACGGTATTTATTATTTAAAATAGCCGGCAAATGTTCGAAGCGAATATAAACTAGATTTAGTCCATTTTTACCGAAAATTGATTTTTTACTGGGGGAATTGAAAGCTTTCCCATCTGCCACTATTTATGAAAACAAAGTGACTATCATGGCTTGATTCATCCAATTTTTTCCAATATATCTGAATAATTCACGAGAGGCCATTCAAACCTTTTTTGCATTTGATACCAGTTTCACTTCAAGACAGTCGATGAAAGCAGACAAGGTGAGTCAAATATTGAAAAATAACTGTCGTACCCATTTCAACTCTGAACTCAGTTTAGTAAAGAATTGCTTTCATGCTAAGGGATTCGGGATATTGTAATGAAACCTCAAGCTTACTCAAAATATCAATTTTATTAGCTCCAAATCTATTTACATGTATTGCAAAAATGTTACATTTGTTGGCTTATGGCCCCTAAACTCATCCGCCAGGGTACTAAAATATTGATCAAAGCACCTATTCAAATAACAGTGGACAAAAAGCTGATGAAAGTTACAAAGCTAATGAAAACGTTTGTATTTCTTTGAACAATCTCACTGTCAAAATTCGCTTCTTATTGTCACATGTTAGCGAAGAACTGCATCCTAGAGTATTGAAAGGAAGATATTTTCAAGCAGAGGAAGTATGCTTAGGTAAACACTAAAATCTATCGTGTAGAAAAGGATTTTATGGTACAAAACGTCACCTTATATACACATAAGAATGTTCATAGTGAATTTAAAAAGTTTCGGTTATGCTACTATCTTTGTTTATTACCTACGCTACAGTCTCCTTGCTACCTCAATTAAAAGTTTTATCAGTTTCACAGCCATTATGTACAAACTACGCAGTTCGTACAAGATAAAACAGACTTGTTTGAAGTGGAAAATATAATTAACTCAACCGTTTAAAATCACAAGGAAATTAATCTAAGTTGAAGCGATCCCAAAGGAAAATTAACCTTGGTCCAAATGGTTTACAAAGCTGCACAGACATAAGGCTTTCTGAGGCCTATAAGCGTAGACTACACGGTGATCCAAAAATACATTTGTTTTGCTGGTTTACAGCCTGCCGGATTATACAAAATTGATCAAATTTGCCTTTACATGAAATTGAACGAGTTTGCCTTTTGGCTATGAATGTTCGCATTTCGTGCAAAATCAGGATCTCAGCTTCAAGTGTTTTCCACAGATGGATACAATTTTTAAATCCGCTTGAGGGTGTCAGGGTCAGAACGGTGTACGGCCAAAAATATTAATGGCACGTATAAAAAATGTATCAGATCAAATATATTTGCAGACATTTTGTATCTGAATGATTTATTGTCGAGGAAAAATTTGTGTGTTGGTTTGGTTGAGTTTCCAAGTATTTTCAACATAGAGAAAGTAAGTAGTAGATTGTTAGTCCTAATGTCTTGCACGCGTAAGACAGTTTTCCTCATTGTTTATGCTCCCATCAGGCGAAAATATGAGGAGTATTTTGATAATTTTCAGTCTTGGTAGCGTTCGAAGAAGTCTTCTTTGCCTGAAATTACTTATTGATACGAGAAACTCTTTGAAATGCTAAAAGGAATTGGAATTGCTGATCAAGATATACGAATGGTTTAAAAAAATACTTGAATTAAACAGAAGAAAAAATAAGAATTGCTGTTGCACAGTAGGTTACTAGACCGAATTAAAAATAAACGATGATCGGTTTCAGATATTCATTCTTTTGGCCCTTTGCATATTATTTTTATCTGGTTAAGCGGGAGCAAGTTGTGAATAATATTCACGCGCCACATATTTTAGAGCGCCACTTATTAACTTTTCGTTAAATACACTAATTTTCTTATTGATTATTGAAGTTATATCGCAAAAACATAAGAAATGTTGACATACTTAATATTATTTTGTAGGCACGTTTTCATTCTGTTATTTCGCTTTTAAAGAACACTAAGACTGTGGTTAATTGGCTTAAGCAGATCGGCAGAATTGACTCTCATTTGCGAAAATTGAAAATGTTTGGGTAACCTTTAATCACTGACCAAACTTTCGGAAAAACTTCTTAAACCTGCAGTTAAACCAATCAATCCGTAAAAAATCCACCAACAAACTTAAAGACTGTACTTAATGACCGATAGAAGTAATTTTTTGTCAACAGTCTAAAGTGTTTTCAAAGGAGATGTCGCATCTAATTGCAAAATCCAGATCCATCTGAAGTGGAATTTAATTTGCTGCGAACAGCACGCGTCAAATCATAATATTTTTGGATCCCATTTTTATAACTCCTCAAAGTGGTATAATGAGCAATTTTTAAACGTTGATCGGCCTGTTCCGTTCCATGTGCTAATTAAACCACTTCGGTTCTATGCAATTAGCAATTTTTCTTGTCACGTTTTCCATTAATCACAGAAAAGTTGTTTTATTATTCGTATGTTTCATGCTATTCGTAAAACGAGCTGCGCCATAATGTAGAATGCACTTGGCAGTGTAGCTGCGGGAAGTCACAAGAAAAACTGTTAATGTAAGCAATAATGAAAAATGTGGTTCTACAAGGTTTTTGAGCATGAGGTTGTCTCAAGGCTTGCAAAACAGGGCAACTAAAAACTGAGTTCGATAAGGTTAAGTCTTCAACTAAGGTCATTCGTCCCACAAGCACTGTTGCTTCTGAGCGATATAATACACAAACAGGTGGCATATTTTGCACGTTTTTATGCCACACCTATAACTGGAGATGGGCGCTTTGCCTTTGCAGTATTTCAACTCGCAAGGATACCAACCTATGCACTGTTCCAGATGGCACAAACATGGTGTCCACATTTTTTTAATATCCGTGCAATTGGCGAGCCCAATCGGTGAGGACTCGTAACTGATATCGCTGTTTATGTAGTCGGGAGTAGTGGGAAATCTTTTGATGGCTGGCAGGTAAGAAGCGGTAGGAATACCTGGAACAAAACATAACTTGTATTGTCATTAAAATAATGATGATTATAAAAAATCAAATATTTTTTGGCCTCGAAACAATCATTCTTTGAAAGTAAAACAAATCACGAGGAGAAATCCCAAAGGAAAACACTGTCACAATGAACTGAAGGGAAGAATAGGTAATTTGCTAAAAGGATGTTTCTAAATGGAACCGATTTATCAAACAGATGTTTCCCTCTTTGAGGGTGCAGTTTTGGACGAGATTTTATTCACGGCTGCTGCTTTGTTTTCTAAATTAGATTACGTCGGCAATCTTTGCTGCCGTTGCATACTTGTCCCCATTTAGTTCCCAGATAGCGTTACGTTCTTTCGCGAAATGATCTACAGTTTCGCCATGGAAATCAGCTTAATTGCGTACAACCAACCAGGTCAAATTCAATAGCGACTCTCGACTATTCATTCATTTGCGATTCGGACGTGTTCCAAATTGACAAGGACTAATGTCTTGACAATGCTGAAACTCCATTTGTAATGGTCGCATCCTCATTATAGAAACAGATTTAACGGAACATCCAGACGAGTGCAACCTGGTTCAATATTATGAACGGAAATCGTAGCAAGAAGACTACGTTTATATTTATTGAATTCACGTTGTAGTGCAGGACTCGAGTGATCAACTCGAAGACAGAAATAAGTCCATTAACTTTAAAATACTGCCTAACAACACGTAAATTTGCGCGTTTGTATTTGCAGAAGCAATAGATGTTTTCTGTGTGTAAAAATATACTTTTCAGTACTGTTTGGAAGTAAGCTATTCAAGCTAAATCAACAGAAAAACTAAAATCCGGAAAATACATAGAATGTTTTTGCCTAGAATTTCTTAGCAAGGCTTGTGTTCCAATTTTGTGCAAGTTTGTTACGGAAACAGCAGATAAACATAAAAAAGAAAGGTGGTAAAGCGAAAGCTCCAAATCCAGACCTCATCACTTTGGATGGACGAAAGTACGATTCGAAAATACGATACTGCATTCAACGTCGTAAAGTCTTCATTATCCTCTCTTCGGGAAAATGCGTTTCTTCCATATGGGCATTTTGTCTAGGCGTAAAACGGGTTGTTAATGAAACTTGAAATCGGGGGTTGGCATTCCACTGCATGAGAAATATGCACAAAGTATCGAAGATATAGAATATATCAATGACAGATTAATGAGAACCTCATTGAAAATGAACCGAACCACAATACATCTTATAAGCACGTACGCCTCGGATATATCCAAACCCGCTGCAGACTCAGAAGAATTCTACCAAGAACCACAGACCTCAATAGACAAAATCAGTAACTCCCATAAAATCGTGATATTTGGAAGTCTCAATGCTCGAATCGGTAATACGATACTATCAGGAATAAAACAAAAATACCAGCCCATTATCAATGAGAACGGAGAGAAGCGCAAGATACGAGATTCCCACATAAAGATCAGCACAAGTATAAGTTCGATAACTCTAGAGGCCAAAGATCAATGATCGATTTCATCATTATCAACAGAACACTCACATACAAAAAAAAATAAAAATTAAAATATATACTACCATGACATTTACAATTACAACTTACCAGACAAATACCAAATAGACAAATCAGAGTACATATTACAATACGCCGCCGACACTGCACTTATAGTACACGACAAAACTACTGAAAAGGCGACTGAAAGAGACTCCAAACACTAACGAGCAATACAATGACATGGTTCTATAAATGGAGATTACACCAAACGCTACAAAAAATCAACTTCTACTCACAATCCACAGACTCAACGCTGACTCCCCTACAATAATTGCAGACGGCCAAACGACAGAACCAAAAAGCCATATAAACTACCTAGGAACCACAATTGACCACAAACTTAAATTCACTAAACACATACGAAACATCAGGACAGAAACAATAAGGAGAGCAAAACACTTTCGATCACTAACATACAAAGACAAAGGAATCAGCACAAATACCGCTACCAAAATATACAAAGCTATTTGTAGACCTTTGCTAGACTACAGACATATACTCATACCCAACGGAACAGAAAGGACAAAACGATATACACAAACAACAGAACAAATTGCACTAAGACTTATAACACGAATAAGACACCTCCAAAACCCACTACACAACCCTTCCACCCAACTACTATACGAACGCACAATCCCGACAAGGATCACTTAAAGACTGATACATTTACAGACAAAATGGACAAACAACCCCCACAACTGGACCATACTGAACACCTTTTGTCTTGCAAGACCAACCAGACAATCACGCTTCCTTTTCCCTACATCAACGCTACTCGAACACCTACAAACGTCACAACTAACCCAATAAATATAAGTAGTTTTATGATAGTTTATACAATGTTAATAATAGTTTAGTTTTTAAAATATTAGTTGTAAATACAAGGGCAGAAAGACCATGTGGTCGATAGCCTTTTTCTTAGGAAATAAAGATAACATGTATAGTATATAAAAATTAAAACTGGGGTCCCACAAGGAACCATCTTGGGCCCTATTCTTTTCCT